TTTTTTGGTACCATGGATTGAACCCAGGGGAGCTTAACCACTGAACAATATCCCCAGCCCTCTTTATTTGTAAATTTGAAGACAGGGCCGTGCTAAGTTACTTAGGTCCTTGCTAAGTTGCAAAAGCTGGCTTTGAATTTGTGATCCTCCTACCTCAGCTTTCTGAGTTGCTGGAACTACAGGTATGTACCATCACACCCAGGAAACATACAACTAATTTTTACAATTTCCTTTTTGTTTTTGAGACAAGGTCATGCTCTATTGCTGAGACTAGTCTCAAACTCCTGGGTTTAAGTGAGCCTCTTGCCTCAGATTCCTAGTAGCTGGGACTACAGACATGTGCTACCATGCAAAGTTTGACTTTCATATTTTATTATGTAAGGTAATACTTTCATATTTTCTTTCCAAAATGCCAAGTAGCATTTAATAACATAAAGATTTAAGAATTCAACCATGTATTCATTTTTTTCCTCCAAAGAAGCCTATCTTACCCCAGCGTATTTATAGTAATTAAACCAAGATGGCAGTTTGTGGGAGGAAAAAAAACTATTTTTTAAAAATATTTTTGGTTGTAGATGGACACAGTATATTTTATTTTTATGTGGTGCTGAGGATCCAACCCAGTGCCTCACATGTGCGAGGGAAGCAATCTACCACTAGGCTACAATCCCAGATTGATAAAAACTATTTTAAATAGTTTTACCGCTTCCCTTAAAAGAAATACTTGTTACTAGTATCAAACTACAGATGGTCTATGATTTACTATTTTTCCAGATTAAGATGGTGCAAAAGCAAGGTGTTTTCAATAGAAATTGTACTTCAAATTTTTATCTCTTTTTGGGCTGCAATAAGCAATATGAATTATCAGCCCCAAGCCCATGAAGGTTGAATATTCTGTTGTTTTAACTATGATGTTCAGTAGGTTAGTTGTATGATATTTTTAACTTATGATGGGTTTATTGGGATGTAATCCTTACATCATAAGTTGAGGAGTAACTATAGACACTTATGTAAGGTGATACTTTCTTAACTAGTTAGCCGTATCTTAAGCATATAGCCATAACTATCATATCTATTGGATAATGTTTAATTAATTTTAAATTTTAAATTATTAGACAGGGTCTCATTAAGTTGCCCTGTCCTTGAACTTGCAATCCTCCTACCTCAGCCTCATAAATCACTGGGATTACAGGTGTGTACCACCATGCCTGGCTTCCAAAAAGAAATCACCTCTAATCACCATTGTCCCTCTCTTTGATGCTAGGTAGTATGCCTCATGTGTTCCCATTGCACATTGAAAAGTGTTTGATACAAAGAAGGTATTTTTTTTGTGTGTGTGTTTGGTGCTGGAGGTTGAACCCAGGTCTTCGTGCATGCTAAGTAAATACTCTACCACTGAGCTATACCCCAGCCCTGAATAAAATTTTTGATACATAAACAATTATTACAGGAAAAATATGTGCAATGGGAACACATGATGCATACTACCTAGCATCAAAGAAGGGGATGATGAAGATTAGAGGTGACTTATTTCTAGAAGAATAGCAGAGAAAATGGCAAATACAAAGGCCTGGACTTGCCAGCCTTGGATTACATGCCTGTAATCCCAGCTACTCAGGAGGCCAAGGCAAGGAGGATTGCAAGTTCAAGACCAGGGCAACTTAATGAGATCCTGTCTCAAAAAAATAGGATGGGGATATAGTTCAGTGGTAAAGCACCTCTGGGTTCAATCCCTAGTACTACAAAAACAAAAATAAACAAAACAAGACAAAACCCACCAAAACAAAGGCCTAGACTTCCTCATGCTGTTTTCCCCCAACTTTTTTTGCCTTAAGTTGTTCAAGAATAAGCTACTTTGTTAACGTTTCATTAACTTTTAAAAAATTTTTTTATTCTTTTTAGTTATACATGACAGTATAAACCATTTTGATATATTTACACAAGCTTGGAATATATTCTAATTAGGATCCCAGTCTTATGGATGTACACACGATGGTGAAATTCACTGTGGTGTGTTAATATATGTACATAGGAATGTTATGTCAGATTCATTCCACTCTTTCCCATTCCTATCCCACCTCCTTTCCCTTCATTTCACTTTGTCTAATCCATTGACCTTCTACTCTTTCCCTCCCTACCCTTATTAATTCTTTTCTAGGGGACTATCTGAGAAATACTTCAGAACAACATGTGACCGCCCAGAAGCTGCTGGCATGTCCTTCTCTGCAGAATCCTTGTTTCTGAATATGTTTAAGAAAATTTCTTAAAGGAAAAAAATTTGAATCAAAAGTTACCTGTTTGCCATAGAAATTGGTGTCTCCCCTGAAAGATGATCGAGAACCAGTGAATGAGAACATTGGCAAAGGCACTGGAATAGGGACATTCACTCCCACCTAAAAGCAGAACAAATCTACATCAAATACTAAGCAAAGAACTCAAACTATAGACTCTCTATTTAGAAGCATAAAAACAAAGATGGATTTATTTTTCTTTTTTAAAAAATCAATTTATATTTTATGGGTTTTTTTTGGGGGGGGAGTGGGTGGTATTTATTTTTTTGAGAGACCATTTTAAATTGCTAGCTTCCATCCCATTCTTCACTCTATGAACTTTTATTACTGAGGAAGAAATGGAGCATTGTGGAAGATTAAAGGGACAACCTTTATAGAAGCTGCAATGACTGATCATTGTCTACTGTCTCCTCTTAGGAATCCCTAAGAGCTGTGAGAATCTACAAACCTGTCCAACATCGACCAGGTGGGAATATTTCCGAGCAGTGGCTCCATTGGTGGTGAAGATGGCAGTTCCATTTCCATAAGGGTTGTCATTTACGATCTTGATGGCTTCATCTAATGTTTCTGTTTCCAGAACCACAAGAACTGGACCAAAAATCTCTTCTTTGTAACAGGTCATATTTGGCTGTCAGGAATGACCAATCCAGAAAAGAAGTGAGCTCTTTGGATTCTATGTATTTTATACTCAACCTGGTAATTTTACTTAATACCCACTAGTTTACGTAGACTTCTTTCATGTTAGCAATCTCTTTCCATTTTTAAATTACTTATTAAAAACTCTGTTCCATCTTCCAAACTATCAACATATAGACAACCTGAAATTCCTATCAATTACAACCACACTCTGTACTTTTAGTTCCCATAACTCATCACTAGCTTCCTTTGTAATAGCTGTACAACTTGTTTCATACAATTGTTATGTTACCAAAAAGTTACATGAAAATTTTTTTATAAATCAAATATATATAAAATATCAGATTATTTTGTTTACAGAAAGCCTGTGCTAAGTTCTCTGAAACAAAAACACTCCATTCCCACTTATCCTTTATCTCCAAAATTTAACTATGTACATTTATATTTTGATAGTGTTATACATAAACACCTAAAACAACCTTCACCGCTACACCTAATCAGCTGTGTTTATTGTTGATAAGTGGATTTTTCTTCTATCATTCTGTGGTAAGAGACTTCATAGTTTCTACTACACTTACATTCAATCCTTGGTTATTTAGGATTGTAATGACAATATGTGAATTTCAAAAAAGGTTCCTAACTTCAAATTTAGTCATGAATGTCAACTGAGAGACTTTCAGAGTTTTGATAAATAAAAACTGACAAACCACTTCTTTTTGACTTTCTCGTGAAGATGTAGCTAAATTTGGGGCCCAGAGTAGTTATACCCAATTGAGTAGTAGATATAGAGATTGAGACATTGCAATAGATATGAGGTAGGTTGCAAGAAGGAAGAGAAAAGTTACATTAAATAAGGAACCAGTATAGTATAAGACAAGGGTTGACAAACAACTACCTATGGGCCAAATATAGATACTATTTGTTTTTGTATAGGTCATAAGCTAAGAATGGTTTCTACTTTTTTTTTTTTTTTTTGAATTGGGGATTGAACTCAGGGGCACTCAACCATGGAGTCACATCCTCAGCCCTATTTTGTATTTTATTTAGAGACAGGGTCTCACTGAGTTGCTTAGTACCTCACCGTTGCTGAGGCTGGCTCTAAACTCACAATCTTCCTGAGCTGCTGGGATTACAGGCAAACACCACCATGCCCAGCTCTACATTTTTAAATGGTTGAAAAAAAAATCAAAAGACTACTTCATGACATGTAAAATGACACAAAATTCAAATGTATGTCCATAATAAAGTTTTATTGGAATACAGCCACATAATGCTGATTTCCCATTACATGTAGGAATTGAGTAATTGTGAGAGAGATTATATATTTCTGAAAAGCTGAAAATATCTAGCTCTTCATGGAAAGTGGCCTGGATGGGGCTCAGGAGAGGAGACTCCAAATTAAAATAAGTGAACAATCCTGGCCAGACTTGAGGTTTTAATCATTAAATGTCTTCATTTATAAACCAGAAGGAAAGCTTCCATAGCCTCTAAGATTCCTTCAGCTTTCATATTTGTGAAATGATTGAGTTGTTCACCTTGACATTTGAGATGATGGTTGGTCCAACAAAGTTACCATTTTCATAACCTTTCACTTTAATTTTTCGCCCATCCAGAAGGATGGAAGCTCCCTCCTTTGTTCCACTATCAATCAGATTACAGACTCGCTCTTTGGCCTGGGGAGTGATCAGAGGGCCAAGATCAGCTCCAGGCTGGTCTCCTGTAAAACAACACATAAGTATCTAAGGACTTCATTAACATAAATTATGATTGCTAGTAATGTATGAATCTGAATGACAGATACATATAAAGAGAGGTATTGGTAAGACTAGAAGACTGCTTCCCTTTGTCAAGGCCAATGCTAAGATATAGTGTCAAACATACAAAATCTAAAGTTGCTGGGCAGATAGGTGATTACCTGCATTGACCCTCAGCTTTTTGGCACGCTCCACCAGCTCTGGAAGCCACTTCTTAGCCTCTCCCACAAGGATTGCTGTTGAAAGAGCCATGCAGCGCTGACCAGCAGCTCCAAATGCTGCCCCAACCAGCTGGTTCAGGGTATTTTCCTTGTTGGCATCTGGCATGACTACCCCATGGTTTTTGGCTCCCTAAAGAAACACAGATTGTGCATCAATCTTCCTTAGTCAAATACAATTAAGCTAAGAATGAGAATTTAAGGGAAGGATTAGAGAATTCATTCTTTCTTGCTTTGAGGACAAAGAGGTTATTTTTAATACTGCTTAAATTTTAGCAACATCAAGCAGGTCTCCACATTTTTTCCCTCACTTTCCAGTTGATAAGCTGCTATATATTTAGCTTAAAACCATTACCAAGGCAAAAAAGCCCCAATCACACTCAAACCAACAGGTTAAAAACTGCAACCAGGAACCAAGGAAAATGTTGTTTTCTAACTTAGGTAGGAAGCAATTTGTTGTCTGCTGAGGTTTCCAGTTTAATCCCAGTGACTTGGTAGGCTGAGGCAGGAGGATTGCCAAGTTGAAGCCAGTCTTGTCAACTTAGCAAGACCCTCAGCAAATACAAAAATATAAAGGACTGGGAATTAAGTTTAGTGGTAAACCACCATAGGTTTAATTTCCTGTACCAAAAATAATTAAAAATGCAGTAAACAGCTAAGGGTCAAATTCAGACCTTGGGCTGGGGATGTGGCTCAAGCAATAGCACACTCGCCTGGCATGTGCAGGGTGCTGGGTTCGATCCTCAGCACCATATAAAAATAAAGATGTTGTGTCCACCGAAAACTAAAAAATAAAAAATTCTCGGGGCTGGGGATGTGGCTTCTATACATATAACTACATATATATCTTCTATGTAGACTGACATATAATCATTTTCATGTCTCTAGATACAACTATAGTTGAGTGTATGGGTATATACCATGTCTACTACTTAATTTAATCCTATTATAGATAATGTTGAACACAGAATACATGCAATAAATATGGAGTGAACTAGGAGGGGCTTAAGTCAAATTGGACAAAACATTCAGCCATGAAAAATAAGTGGCAATTATCTTTTTTTCATGTTAGTTGAAGGAAGGGTGGGCAAGATGCAATAGGACTTTATATTTAGTATTAAAGAGTTGCTAAGCATTTGGCAAAGAACTAGTAAGAGTAAAGTAAAAATTAAAGCATGTCACGTATCATATGGGGATATTTGGTTCTTTTTGGTGCCTTGAACTACTAGTTAGTATATACCTTAAAAGAAGGAAGGATTAAGGGCTAGAAGCATGGTATAAAGAAAGGAAGAAATAGAGCCAGAACCAGAATCAGGCTGTTACTGCTGAAAGCCTAAAGAATCTGAATAACATTCTTAGGAAGAAATATGTCCCTTGTCATCAAAATTAGTTGTATATGATAAAGGTGGTCAGCATGATCAATACTCTTCACAAGGTTCACGGTTAAGAAGACATTCAGGATTAAATGGTAATTAAGAAACACTGGCATTAGTGGGAAGAGTGAGTGGTCTTGCTGTTGAAGTGCTGTTCTTAGATAATTTATAAACATATAACAAAGTTCAGGAGAAAAAAAGAATAAAAAGTCACCATGTTGGCTTGAACCCTCTTGCCATGTCTTGATCCTCTCTCAAAGATATACTCTCCTGCCTGGTTGGATCCCACAAAGCTGATTGCTTTGATGTCCGGATGATCACAAATAAAATTTACAGCTTGGAGAAGAAAAATATGGTCACCAAAAAGAACAAGGGCCATAGGCTTCTCAACGTGGCAAATCTCCCCTTTACCCACTGATTAGACATTCTCATAATTGTTTTTTCAACACTCAATTGCTATTGTGAAGTTCTCTTTTGTTCCCTTAAATTCTTTTATTTATTTTTTATTTGTTCTAATTAGTTATACATGACAGTGGTATGCATTTTGACATATCATACATAAATGGAGTATAACTTCTCATTCTTCTGGTTGTACCTGATGCAGAGTTTCACAGGTTGTGTAATCATATATGTCACTTAAATTCTTTACAAATTCTATTTAGCCTCTACCCTTTCAACATTTTTTTTTTCATTTATTCCAGAATTCTTGTGTCTAGTCTAATCTGAAGGCTACAATTCCTATTTTTCTCTAAAACAACAGCCTTTCACAACTAGACACTTCCATTTTTTTTTCTTTAAATATGTGATAATGGGGGATGGAGTTGTGGCTCAGTGGTAGAGCACTTATCTTTGCATGTGTGAGGCACTGAGTTCAATCCTCACCACCACATAAAAATAAATAAAATAAAGGTATTGTGTCCATCTACAACTAAAATATATATATATTTTAAAAAATGTGATAGGCATCATCCCAGTGACTCAGGAGGCTAAGGCAGGAGGATCCCAAGTCTGAAGTCATCTTCAGCAATTTAGTAAATCCCTGAGCAACTCAGTAAGATCCTATTTCAAAATCAAAAATAAAAAGGGCTGGGGTTATAGCTTAGTGGTAAAGCACTCCTGTATTCAATCCCCAGAACTAAAAACAATAAGAATATGATATGTCCTCAACTGCTACTATATACAGAGACTCTCAGAAACTATTGTGCTATCACACAAGAGGTGATATGGCATTAATATTTAAAAGCAAGAAGCAGAGTCAGCCTTAAGATACATACGCTAATTATTATGAATAATTTGTAGCAGTGTTAACTTTGGGCAAATTACTTAATTTCACTCTGCCTCAATTTTCTCATCTGTAAATGGAAAAATAATACTGCCTCAAAGGGTTGTTATGAAGATTAAATGAGTTAATAAACTTTCTCTGTCTAGGGGCTGGGGTTGTGACTCAGTGGTAGAGTGCTTGTCTAGCATGTGCAAGGCCCTGGGTTTGATCCTCAGCACCACATATAAATAAATAAATAAAAACAAAACAAAACAAAACTTTCTCTGTCTGGTCATAATCCATGTTGTTGGAGGCCCACTGCACAGTGAAGGGCAAGAAGCTCTGCTGCTCCCCAGTTAGCTACCTTAGCACAGATGGCAAACAGTCCACAAACATTACCTTCAAACATGGAGATTACTATTAGTGAGTGCCTTCCTTCCTAGTTTTCTTATCCTAAAACACTCAGTTGACACTCAACACCTTAGTTTGTTGATGCCCATATTAAGTAGTCACATGCATTAGGGAAGCTACCTTCATGTTGTCCATGGATGATGTTCAGTGTTCCATCAGGGGCACCAGAATCCTGAAGCAGCTTAGCAAGAAGCATAGTTGCTCCAGGGACTCGCTCTGATGGTTTCATTAGGAAAGTATTCCCACAAACCATGGCCATGGGAAACATCCAAAGGGGGATCATGGCAGGAAAATTAAATGGAGCAATGCCTGCACACACTCCCAGGGGCAGACGATAGGAATAAAGGTCCATGTCTTTGGTGATGGATGGCATAGTTTCTCCCAGCATGAGGGATGTCACACTACAGGCATGCTCGACCACCTCTGGAACAGAGAAGAACAAGTTAGGCCACTAGCTCCCCACACTGAGCATTGCTTAGCTTTATCTTGTTCTGTTCAGCCCTGAGGCTGTGATCAGGCCAATGACAGAATCCCATCTTCCTTTTCCTAAAGTCCCACAAGGGCTCCCAGCTTACGAAGGCCTCGGAATACATCTCCTTCAGCATCAGCTAGGGTCTTCCCTTGTTCCAATGTGATTAACTTGGCAATTTCTTTCTAGAGAGAAAAACACAAATAGAAACTCATACAAGGATA